TATATTCAATTCTAATCTAATGTATATCTTGTTCAAATAGCGATGAGTAATGTTGAAATTCTCAAAGCTGGTGACGTTCAATTTACATCAGCCGGCACAGGAATCACACATTCTGAGTACAATATTCATCCAACTCTTCCCGTTCATTTTCTTCAAATATGGGTGAAGCCTGACAACCCAAATCTTAAGCCAAGATATCAAACTATGACCTTTTCTGAATCTTCTAAAACGAATAATCTCGCACATATCATCTCTCCGGTTGATAATAATGATAACTCTACTATTGGCATCAATACAGATTTTCATATGTATGCCAGTTTATTAGAACCAGGTCATAAAGTTATACATACTGTACAGGGAACTGACAAGCCTAGAAGAGTTTATGTTCATCTTGCGGGTACTGGTGGAAAATTAAGTGTTAATGAAAATACGATATTGCAACAAGGTGATGGTGTGTTTATTACCGAAGTTAAGCAGGGAGATGAAATTGTTTTTGAATCTATTGGTGACAAAACTGCAGAATTCGTAGTTTTTGACTTAGCTTAATACTATACTATATTATTTCGCCTCGTTTAATTTATCTATTTATTTATTAATTATTTTACTGTATTATTTATTTAATGTCATATATAAAATAAATAAGTTATCTCGTTTGAGAAAAATTACATATTTAGGGGTTTCAGAATTACCTTTTTTTCAAAATAAGTGGGAGTTTAAAAGGACCTATTTTCTTTTTTAGAATTCTGAATCAGAAAATTAAATAGGCATAGCCGGTGATAAAATTCATAAACGATTATGTAAATAAGTAAAAAAATAGAATTCTTATTTTGAAATAAAACGTCACTTGTTTTATCTGAAATCGGACGCCGAATCATTAATTCTGGAACCCCCTATTATTTTTTTTTATTGTTGTACGTCGAAATCGAACTTTGTGGATATTGATTGAATCAACTTGTGTTGCAATGAATTCTAAACTTACTCGGTTGATTAGAGAATTCGAATTCCACTTAATAAGTGGGCTTAAAATTTAATTATCGAAAATTCTTATTCATCAAATCGTTCTATACCGTAAATTTTTAAAAATTACTGAGTTGCAGGAATATCCATTTTATCTCGCAGTGTATTTGAAATTCTCGATGACAAATCTGTTAATTGACGTCGTAAACCTTTACCGTATTTGCGCGAAATATACACGACTAATAATTAATTTAGTCGAAGACTTTTAATACAAAAAATTATGATTTGCATTCGTTCAGATTAATTTTTATTGTAAGGATAAATGTGAAAAAAAAAACTTTGCAAATGTAAAAAGTCAAAATTTCCTTGTATAAGTAGCTGTTATCTCAACATTCACGTATGTATTAATTAGTATAGCTAATATATGACTAGAATACGCGTATATGAGCATTGTGGTATAAACTAAATTCAAACGCTTTTAATTTGAAAATTGAAGATTTAGAATTAACTTTTAACTGGTTCGAAATTCTTTAACAATTTGAGTCACAACTTAAGTTATTTAGAATCAATCTAAATTTAATAAAATTTCATTCAAACGTACGTTTAGTTATTTAATTAGTTTATTTATTTATTTTTTTTTAATTTTTTTTTTTAATTTTTTTATTTTTATTATTAACAATATCGATATTATATTTCTTGATCTAACTCGATTTCACCGTCTTCTCCAATAATCCTTAAACAATTTAATATCCCTTCCGCAAATGAATCAACACTTTGTTCACTAACACTACCAACCCGATATACTATACATAAATTCATTTTTTGACCTTGAGAAATAGAATTTACGATAAGTGAAGGCCCAACCAAATACATAGATTGAGAAAATATAATATCCATAATTTTCCAATCATTTGAATCCGGATCATCTAAACTTATATTTTCTAAACTATCACTATTATAAATATTATTCACAGGAAAAGAATGTGTAAAATTAATAGAAGAAATAGTATTTCTAGATGATTGAATAATATCATCAGGAGAATTTAAATTTGAATTAAATTGATCTAAATTTGAATATAATATAGAACAAATTTTACCATCACCAACAAGTTTCTTTTGACAATTAATCATTTGTTTTAAAATTTTATCTTTGGAAAATAAATCCCATAATCCCATTCTATTATTAAATTTTGATGTATCAGAAATAATTTGTGATTGATATTTATGACAAAGATTCCAAAAATAAAAATTTGTATTATTCATTTTATGTGAATTATTTGTTGTTGTTATTGGTGATGAAAGTGTTGGAAATGGAAATAATGAAGCTTTTGGAAACGTTACTTTAAATATAGATTCTGTTATGTAATTACCCATATGATCAGTCCATGGAATTTGTGGATTCGTAAATGTTCCAAGGTAAATAGGTGTTAATGTTTTTATGGAATTACCATATGAAGGAAAGAATGTTTCAAATGTTTCTTCGTTGACAGTAGTTGGAGTAGGAGTAGAAGGCGTTGATGAAGATGATGATGATGAAAGAAGATGATGATAAGATGAAAATAAAATAGCTGTATGTAAAACAGCATCAATAGTAGTAAAACGATCTTTTGCAATCGTTTTTATTTTTCCAACTTCTTCTTTTGTTAAAGAAACCAATTTAACCCTATTATGAAAGTGAACCACGTTTCTAGGATTAATATCAGCTATCTTAGAATTATATTCTCGATATAAAAAGGTTTTTAAAAAATTCTCCAATTCCTCTCTTGATGAAATGACAAAAGGTTGGTCTTATTTCAATTCTACGTTCTATTAATTCACTGTTTTGATTAGATTTTTGAATTGGAAGTATAGCGTGAGTATAAGAATCAGGAATTTTTTTTAATTTTGAAGTGTTGGATTTATATCTTTTTAAAGTTTCATTTAATGCTTTAATAAAGATATGATTTAATGATAAAGAACTTATTTCATCAATTATAGAATGATGCCAACAGAATAAGATACAAAAATCATATTCTGGTCTTTCAGTGGATTTTTGAAGATTCATAACTCCGACTACAATTCTCCAAAGTGGTTTCGTTTCATCTTCTATATTAAATTTTAAATCATGTTGTCTTTCAATAAGTTTTTCCAAATCATTTCCGGATGAAAGAGGAACAAATTTGATAAGACTTGTTAAATATATTTCATCAAGTTGTAAAAATAATGGATTAGATGATTTCGAATCTCTAATAGAAATAGATAACGATGGGAATTTTGTGAGAAGTGTTTGAAGGGTAGGATAAAGTATTTGTGAAATTAATCTTTTTGAGTCAGCGTTCAAATTTTTTATATTTGGGTATAAAGAAGGTTTTGTGGATTCAGAAGTATGAGGGTTTCTATCTGTGTTTGAATTACAGAATTCATCCCATCTAAATTTTACTACGAATACAAGATTATGATAATGTAGAACATTTTGACGCATAATATAAAGACGTTCTATTATACTTAAAGGACGGATTACTGTTGGCATTGTTTTTTGTTACTGAATTTACTGAATTTACGTCAACTACTGCTAGAAAGAAATAAAGTTAATTCGTGGGACCTTTTTATCTTAAATGTATTTTTAAACAATAACTCGAATCACTAAAAATGGTGAAAGTAATAATTATCTGTTGTACACATCTCGATTATGATTCCTTTATAAATATTTATCCGTGAGAAGCGTCTATGAGCCTCCCTGAGTACGTCCGTAACTCAAAATAAACCTCTATTCATTAATTTCAGCCACGGAAGTTGGCAAATTTTATAAATGTATAAGAATGTAAATTATGTAACACTGCTATTCAAACCTTGCATATAAATATATATGTAACGCAAAACGGTTAGCCGAAAATGTATGTTCTCCGGCTTAATGATTAACGATTTTTGTTTCCTATTGTGTAACTATAAGTTTTTTTATTATTTGTGTTTTTTTCCGTTTCAAATTTTTTAGAACATGTCGATGTTTGGTGTTCTAATCGAATTTTCATACCTTTTTTTTTTATTGTTACACTTTTGAAAAAATAATTTCTACGTATTAAAAAATTCCCGAATAGTTTATTAGTTTATTATATATTACCAAATTTAGGGTTGAAATAATGCATATATTACTAAGAATGTTTTTTTTTTCTTATTTGGATCAGATACGTACGTACATTCTTACGTACATAATGTACGTACAAATAGTACGTAGTTATATAAAACTTCAATCTTTGGCTTGCAGTACGTGTTTATAATGTTTATATTATATTATTCATTACAAAAAACATTTATGGTATATACCATCTAAATAAAGGCATTCAAAAATTCTAATTTTCAATGAATATTCCGAGTTACGCAAAAAACAATATAATTTTGTGTAGTATCTACCAAACATTTTTTTAAAAATATTTGTCGAGTAATAGCAACTTTTAGAAAAAACATACCAAGAATTTTGAGTGCATTGCCACATTAATGATCAACCAAGTATTATTTGATTGGTTCAAATAATCATAATTAATAAGTTTTAATACGTAACAAAAATTTGATCCCTACCGCTACGTACTGTACGTATAAATGATTAGTGCCATAAATATTTATATACAGTATAGTTAACGTTAACTCTGTGAAACTCTAATAAGATTTTCTGGTCCCATGAGTATGTGCTTGGGTGTGCAAAATCATAATAATCATTAATAATTAAAAATGATTCTTTTTTTTCTTCAAAAAAAGAAACATACAAAAAAGTATTTGAAATCCTCGTGCATGATCTGTTATATTTCTAAGCAAAAAAGTTGCATGTAAAATTTTTAAAACTGCGTTATATTTAGGGTTAATTGTCCGGAGTGTAGCGGAGGACTCTTAATTTCTATATGTAAAGTGATACCAAAATTCCGTTTTTGATGCATTATTGATCAAAATATCAAAAACGTAACTTTGCAATTTCTGCCTGTTGCCATTGCATATTTGTGCAACACAACAAACATCGTGTGATTGGAAACGACGTAAAAAAAATTATTTATGCTCCGGACTTATATCGGTTTCCGATTCCTAGTAATAAAACAATCCAGCGCCTTTTAGCTTTCAGTAAAATTTTAGAAGAAACATTAAATCACAGGGGGATACAATTTTTTGTGGGTGCGCTAAAGGATGGGTAGCGATCCGTAGCTTTAAAATCCTAGCTATCCGAATAATTTTCCGATCCTATGCGTACTCCGATAGACTCGGATTATTCGTCAGATATCCATATGCTCCGATTTTTGGAATTTATAAAAAAAGTATATTTTTAAAAAACTTTAAAGCTAAATAATTTTTGATCTGCTAGTCTATT